AGGCACATATATCATATCATATCATCACCAAATTTATTTCCTCTCAAAATACTATTTCCTTTTTCTAAATGGTCTAGAAAAAAAAGTACTCAAGTATTTTTCGTTGGAATATCCTTTATCAAATAACTAGAAAATACGCTATTGAATAAGTATGATAATACCACGACTACCCGAAATGATATATAATATATATGCATGATATATACAGTTTTCCTGTATTTCAATTACACTTTAAAATCAATCTACAAAAATAGATTTCAGAGAAGTTGCATTTACATATCTGGCAGTCTGGAGACATCCCTGTCAGTGATAACATAAATGATACATTAGAGCAAACACAAGGGGGCAAAATTCTATATTAAGTATTCTGATATAACTTAAATTTATATGAAACAATGCTTGCGTGAAATATTTTGCTATTTGTAAATAGAGAACCAGCATATTATGTATAGATGTTTTGGTCCATTACCTTTTCAATTCAATTCAATTTATTAATTTCATAAAATACAAGGATATAATATATTACACTCTAAAAACTGAAATGTTAAATCACCATTTAAAAGGGCCGAGGAGTGACCACTCTTTCAAAATGGTAGATTAACACTTTGAACATGCTGGATCCAACACTATAAAGGTTGAATCTATCAGGATAAAAGTATCAATCTGACATTTTGAAAGAGTGGTCACTCCTCGGCTATTTTAAATGGTGATTTAACATTTAAGTTTTTAGAGTGTATAAATTTGTGCATAGGAATTCGCATTAAAAAAGCCAGTGGCTTGGAATAAAACACAGCGATTGCCCTTACAATCATAGTAATGAGGAAAGCGAATACAAAATACAAAGAAAGCACAAAACAAAACTTAGCATCAAAGTCAGCCATTTTTGATAAAAATCGACTTTGGAGCAATTTCTGGTGAAGCAAACTATCTGGTGCATAGATGATTGAAGCAAAGTCTAATTCAAATTCAAATAATTGACTGAAATCAACCCTGGCATGATAGGATAACATAATTATCAAATCAAACAAACAAAAGAAAACAGAACGTACATTAATATACTACTACTGCATAGAAACATATCATTAAATAACTCAAGAAAACAAAAGAAAATTGTAATTAGACTATGTACACAAGGTCGCCTTACGTTCAATAAAATGTAGTGATATCGCTTTTATCACAATCAAAACAAAACGCAATCAGGGCAAAAGGAGAATGTAGACTATATAAATAGAAACCTCAACAAAACAAAAAATTACAATATTCAAACAAAAGAATACCGTTTCTCCTTGACTCAGAGCTGATATAAACGGTTTCATAAAACATAACACTAATATTGCAAATAAGGTTAGCTTTTCTTTCGTATCGACCTTTAACATAATTTTCACAATTGTCCTTGTTCGGATTCAGCATCACCATGTCATCATGTTACTTTACATTTCAATTACATCTTCTGGCTTGCTATGAATTTTTGGAGTTAATAGGAAATATTCATCAGCACCCCCGACGAGAAAGGCGCTTCGGGCCAGGTGATCGATGCCTTCTTCTAAACTGATAACTATCTACACACAGGCTCCGAAGGATAGATTTTTGTTATGGGGTTGGGGGCTTTAGAAAACGCACATGTTTTAAACAAAAACGGGAAATGTGGGTAACAAATGTGCACTTATTCAAGGGAGAGGGGTGTTGTTCAGAATGAAAAAAGGGATATCCATTAGTAGGGGAGAAGCTACGGCACGAATCAGAGATTTAAAAGAGTGCCCGAGAACCCCATTACAAGAAATACATTTTCACAATCAAAGGGGTCAATTTGGGTTATTTGGAAACGTGGAGGGGCATGATTTTCTACCCCCCCCCCCCGCCCGTCGGAGCGGTGCTTCCGCTTCTTTCTTGGAATAACTTTTGTCATTAATGTTACTGTTATTATTATTATTTTCAACGTTATTATTATTATAATGATCCACATTGCTTTACATATTGAAAAAGTCAATCTTTTGGACAAAATTTGTTTGAAAGAAATCGTGTTGGCCAGTGATATGGAAAGATATTTATACTTAAATATGAGTACATATAATAAAGGAGAAACTTTAGATTTGAACTGATTTAAACGATGAAAAAACACCTGCCGCCTCCACTCACAGACACAACCACATCCTCACGCCGTTTGATACCACGTTTGGGAGACCCGATAAAATAGATTACAGATATTCATTCCTATAATAAATATGTGTTTTCAATCAATGTTATTTGATGTCTGCCCCCAGGCTTCTTGCAGCCATGGAGCAGCAAAATTCAATTCGGTTACCCTTTTTTTCTAATAAGGGACCTTTCCCTTTGTAGGTGCCCTTTATGTTGGTGCCCCCACCACTTTGTAAGTCGCTCGGCCACCCCTGATTATAGGGAAACCATTATACATGATTTATTCCTAATAGATCTAGATAATAGTATACATTCTCAGATTTTATTGAATAACAATTTTAGTGTGTTTGTTTTGCGTGACTGCTAAAGCATGTGTGGGTTACTATGCTAATAAACTACGGGATATACGTCCTTAAGTCATAACTGACAGCAATGAGTATTAATGCCTCACAAAAGGGCACTAATATAGCACATCGACACGGTTTTGATCCTAGGGGCTCACAGTATTACGAGGCCATTGCTTAGCCACCGAATCTTGACTGTACGCAGCGGGGGCTAGGGTATGGGGCCACCCCCACAAATACAAAAACAAAAATAAATGCAATAAATCATCAATAATTCATTGCATTTTGCCCCGATCCCCAACATTAAAAGAAAAATCTATTTGGGGGCATGCCTTGAAGCATAATGCATGGTCCTACAGAGGAATTTTTCCTGTTGGGGACCGATTTTGCCCCTATCCCCAACATTTACAAAATTCCTCTATGTGGGCATGCCTTGAACCATAATGCATGGCCCTACAGGGGAATCTTTTTTGTGTGACATGTAGACCCATCAATTCGACAATATATTCAATATCTCACACTGCACTTTCCCTCTCATTCCTTTCTTTCCTTTTCTCAGCTTTTCTGTCTTTCTTTCTTGTCTCTCTTCTCGCCTCTTCTATCTGACATCAATTTTCCTCTTTCAATTGTACAGTGTATCTACCATCTATATGTACATGTACTAGCATACCGGTGTCTTCTTGGCATGCATACTATTGTTTCATATGTTATGTAACAGTACTAAGCACAGGTGAAATATTTATGTCTAGTACAAAGCAATGTTTTGAATGAATTTGTATATGCATCATCTCACACTGAGCTGTTCCTCTCTTCCTTCCTTCCTCTCTCTCTCTCTCTCTATTTTTCTTTTTTCCTTTCTCCATGTCTCTCTTTCTCTCTTCTTTTCTCTCTCTTGTTTCTCCTCTTTGACTCGGAAATCCAGAATATGATGTATGATTAATTTAGGTCTGCTTTGATTTTAGATCTTGGCTGTGATTTGTTCTATATATATATGACATTGATTGTTGTCATGAACATTTTATAGAATATATTTAAGTTAGTATTGTCTGTTGGGAGCCAGGGGAGTACAAATAATACAAATAATTCCTCCGGCTCTCAACAGAGGCATTAAATAATATTACATTGTTATGTTATTTATGTTATTTGTTGTTATTTGTTCATGATTATGTTAATATATTGTCATATTTTATACAAATGTGAGTCGTAAGACGATTTTTCTGCCTTCAATTTATTTGTGCAATTCAATTCAATTCAATTCAATTAAAATTCATTCAATGAAAACCTTACATATTAGGTGCCCCTTTTTGCACTTGCAGTACATGTTTCTATTTGTTGATCCAACTATCGACCCGTTACAACTACTTATTACTGACAAAACAAGATTGGCTTAGTAAATAAGTAATATAGGCTGTTCGGGGAAGCCAGAGCTTAAATAGCTAAGGTTTTTAGATGTCCCTAATAATCAACACGTTTTTCCAAATCGAAACTATTCTGTGCTACACAAATTTGTAGCCCTATGGAGTGCAATGAGGAAAGTTTCCCCCAAGACTTCGATTATGATTTATTGGTTTCTGCATCTTTTTTCCATCATACATTTACACGAACATAATATGGTTTGATACAATATTTTAAGTGTATATAATTTTATACAGATAATAAACGAAATTAAACAAATATATTAAATGCATAATTAACATGCATTAGATGCAGGAGGGCTACAGAATTAGGCAAAGTAGCTTGACGTGCCCGCATCCCTCAACTTAGATACAACAATAACAAATAAAAAAAGAGTGTGACTTGCAGAGAAGAAAAGGAAAGGGGAGAAAAGGAGCGTTGGTAATAATACAATAAATCTCATACATCTGCTGATTGAATGCAGGTTCATTCATGAATGGATAAGCGACGCTAGGTCATGGACGATTACACATCATTGTTGAATATACAGTCAATGTACACACGAACATGAATACAGTAAAATTACACACGACAGGATCAATACTTAGACAATAACATAGTTTTAACTGCCTTCCTAAAAAGGATACAATGTCCTAAGGTTTCTTATTACAATGGGCAGAGAGTTCCAGATGTCTGGGCCGGCGTGTCTAATGGATTTGAGAGCCAATGCGTTTTTTTTTTTTCTTAAATAGAATTTGTCAGTTTGCCTTGTAGGGTAAGAGTGGATGGTTTTATTCAAATTAATTATTGCTCGAAGTCATATATTCCCCCCAAAATAAGTAGAAACAAAGAATAAAACAAAGTAAATCTACTAGTCGGCATCAATATAAATGTTTGGCCTGTTTAAAACTTAGAGTCTCATAAAATCTCTGGGGGCTATTTTGTTTGAAATGTTTTGCCTGTTCAAAATGACCTTTTTTTCTTGGGGACGTGGGTAGCACAAAAAACGAATAATTTTGTTTCCAAAGCTGTTTTTCTACAATCATTTTCTCTGCGCAGTTGTTGGCACTACAGTGTATTTGTTTTCTTCACATTAAAGGATCAGTTTGGTATCACTTTAGAGGTCCTCATTTCTCGTTACTGTGGCATTTAAATTTTGAAAGCCGAAATTGGGAAACATTCCTCAAAATGCAGCTACAGAGGTTCACATGTGTGCGAGAAGATGTGGGAGTGGCATTCCAAGCAGGTCGAATCGTTTCACGCGCATGGACCGATCTCTTTCAAACCACTGTCGAGGCCGTGATTGGTCAGTTCGTCAAGCTCTTATGGATTCGGGAGTGGCCAGTCAAAAGTGCGGTTGCAGTCGCCACGTGAACGGTTTAAATAAACACATGTGCAACACCGGAATGGGGGTTGTAGTGGGAGGTTTGATTGTGCCGTTTGATCCAACAGTCGTTTGATTAAACGGCCTGGAGAGACGAGGCAATAATTTCCAAAATTCGAACCCAGTTATCTGATCATCACTATTTTTGGAAAAACAAATCACAAACTCCAAATTGTCAGCTGGTGGTGACATGTTGCTATTTTTTCTTTCTATTTTTTTAGCATTTTGACCAAGACCATTTACCGTGTACAATCAACATAATAATTTTTTATTCGCACCAATACGCCTCCAGGTTTTATTTTGTACATAGGTTTAATACGCACATACTTAATGATCATATGTTAGAGATAACATTCCACTTAAAACTAAATTCTACGAATAAAACGCGATTTTCCAAAAAATTGCCATAAACTGCTAGAATTGCCACGAGCTAAAAAAACATTATAAAAAAGAGTATTCCAGTATCAATTGCGCTTAATAGAATTGCAAAAAAATGACGGAGCCTAACGTTCACCAAGTAGGTTTCGATCATGTGTAATTTTGCATTAATTAATTAAGAGTGTTGCAACATCACAGTTGGAACGTTGGAACGTTCAGACCATTCAGTTTACCTCCTCGATTGTTCCCGAAGTGAAAAAATCCACCTCGCACTGCATACCATCTTTGTAGATCTTCATGGCCTTCTTTAGATCCACTTTAAAATTCTCGGCATTCTCGTCGATGTAATTCGCGAGTGTATGGCTTCCCGGCAGGTTATCTTGTATCCAGAAACTGTACACGTTGGTGTCATTCTATAATTGCACAAGAAAAAATACGTAACGTGAAAACCCGTACTTTGGACAAATAATTATACAGAATTTCGTTTAGTTTTCAGTTTTGCCCTTTTTATTTGATGGCGGTTTTAGTTTGATCGATCCAAAAAAAACTTGTGTACATCACAACAATTTTAACTTCAAAAATTCCATCCGGCTTCAAAAATAAATACTCAATCAATTAATTATTGTTTTATTTTCATCAGGATAAACAAACAAAACATGTCTTCGTGAGGGTTACCCTGTGTGCCCAGAGTTTGAACAGAACGAAACGAAACTAGTAAGCATGTAAACAATGGGATATGAAATATGACGTAGTTTGGGAGCAATACAGCAGGGGCCGTGTGCAAAATGTTTCGGCGACCAACCCCTATAAATTGTTGGATTCTTAACAAGCTGAATACGATAATCCATAAAGCCCCGCCCCTTGACGAACTGACCAATCACGACTGTTCCATGAGTGTGAGTGCGTTTAAAATGCGGCTGGGATTGGTCATTAAGAAAAGGGGCTGGGCTTAATGGATCTGGTCTATATTCTTACTCAGGCCTGTTCTTACTATGCCTGATTTGATCTCCTGAGCAAGCCACCCCCACAGCTTCTCACACGGCAACATGGCAATCAGCAGGTAAAACGGTTCCTCCTTTGTAGCCACGCCCAGCTCGAATTTAGAGTAGGAGGCAGCGGCGTCTCCCATGGCAATCCCTTTTGGGTGCTTGATGTACCACTCTTTGAACATTATCTCCGTGTACCTTCAAATACAATCATGAGCATACACGCTAAATACATTATGATTGAAAATAACCGATATACACGCTTAATACAGGTTGGTTGAAAAAGCCAATATATAGAGGAACTTCAAATTTAAGAAAATAGCACCAATCTGCACAGTGCCAGGTTTGAAACCGAGGTTCTCAGTGTCTAAGGTATTTAAAAGACAATACTAATTTTTAAATTCTTTAAAAAACCAAAGGACTTGAAAAAAGCTTTTAGTGGGAAAATAACGACAATTAGTTGGTCGAATCGACTTAAGTGATTGCAATCACCTAGTTTCCAGACCTTTTTACCGAATGGTAGTACGTTTTGTGCTGCACATAGATTCAATCGGTTTAATTTTGGCAATTACAAGTAGAGGGTTATTGATGTAGACAAATGCTCATGTACCTGTTACACCTCATTTTATGTATCTGATTACCAAAGAAAAAAAGCCAGTCAGTCACTCAATAGTGTCTGTCAGTGAAGTCGAGAAAGTAAAAGGGTTTCCTTGCATAATTTGAATACAAGGACACTGATAATGTTTAAATTTCACAGACAGGACATACATGACATATTGATAATTCCTGCAAAGTTCTACAGAATTTGATTTTGGCTGCAAAGGGACATAGTACTGCGCTGCCACTTATGATTCATTCAAGCATAAATTGTGTTGAAAGAACTGTGAGCCTCGTTTTCAACTCGAAGTGCGGGGCTAATGTGAAATTCGTCTTAAGTAGGATTGGTAGATGTGACCATTATGTGACCAACCAACTCACATGGTTTCACAGGCAGGCACCCAATTAGGTTGAGTGCACAATAAATTACGCTGCTTAAATTTCCGTTACCATACAGAATTTGTGCTGACGCATTCGTTCAATAGGTACTAAAAGGTGTTATAACGTTTCGATAAGATGACTGTCTGTTCCCCGGGAGGGGGTGCAAAAGGTGTATGCTTATCCTCTGAATTTACCCATGATCATCGATCGCCTTCGCGGGGGTGTGAGAAGTGAGAACATTTCATGAATCAGAGAAGACTGCAGGCAGATCATCGTTTCAGACTATACTGGCTATACTGACTATATATCCACTGCCGAAGTGGATAAGCTGTATTTTCACCTGATCCACATAATATCCTAGGTAGAACTATGGATCCTTGCGCTCGATATCCATAGGTACAACCTAGGCCAGTGCCGTCTCCCCGTCTTTAGTGACGCAGGATCCAAGGTCTAACCAGGGAAACTGGTCTCCGTATAGCAGCATGTACATTACGCTGCTATTGCTTACCACCGCGTTGTCAAGCGGTGGATGGAAGCATCGAAAACACAGCCAGAGCTCCAGCGCCGGAAATCGCCGCGCAGTGCACCCCGATAGCCTGGGCTGGGCGACTCGCTGCCAGCGCTGGTCATGAATTGGCCGGCAGGGCATTCAGTGACCTGTTTTCATGTCGACTTGGGAGGTAAAAAACCTCATAAAGACCGCGTTTTTTCTGTGTTTTATTGAGTAACATCGCTACTATCCCAGTGGTAAGTCTTTAGTCACCATTTTGTATAACCTAGATATAAAATAAGAATATAAACAACTGTAGAAGTGGAGATTATCCACCTCCAATAAAATGTGATTTCGTGGACAATCGCATCCCGGCCCGGCCCAGTGCGGTGCCAGTGCAGTTTGGGCAAGTTGGGTAACAAGAAATAAGAAAATAAGGCAAGTGGTAATGATCTGGGCCTTGTGCTAACAATAACTTTAACGCCAGTTGCAAAATGACGATGGACCAGTCTAGATCATTGTTGCATGCACAAATTGTTCAATCTGCTGACCATTAACCAATCAGAATATATGCAATCGAACGCAAAACTTAGTGTTACTGTTAGTGTTACAGGGCCCAGATATTTTTCTTGTTACTCAGAAACCTTGGAGTAGTACATTTAAATGTTGCATTGTGTGTACTTGTATTTGTGGGTTACTGGAGTGGTAGCATAGCTTATGGACTATCGACGTATACACATCAACATTGTATGGCCATAGGCCTACATTTTGATGTTTATTTGTAATGCGTATCGACTTTCAGACTGCGAAGTTAACTTTTCAATGCAGAACTATATCCGAGTCAGAATAATAAGTAGGGGGGAAACGGCTTCTTTCTTGGTGCAGATTGTAGATAAAGAATGATTCAATGTTACAGACTTTCTAGGCCTACCTCTAGACTGCACTTCTTTTTTAAATAATGGGGCATTTGCATTAAAAACTGTTTGGCACCTTGGTAATCAGCAAACAACAACTCTGGATTCATGATGATCTGGAAAGTTCCCAAAGAGCTTTGATTAAAACTTAAAAACATATTTGGATAAAGATCTCTGCATTTACATATTGATAAAACACTTTTGCGACTCAACAAGAGCTCCCATAAGCAAAATGGTAATGCTTACTTTATTCCTTGCCTTTTATAGTACACTTCTGTAGGAAATCACCACATAGCTTTCTTTTGTGCATAAAGTCCTATAGCTAACCCAGAAGTATGAATAACGGCATACAAAAAATGTATTAGATTTACTATGCACAGATGATGATTCAGGTACAGTTATTTTTGTAATATATGCGGTTGACATAGGCCATAATTTACACAGCATTTTAAAGAGATAAATGTGCGTACATGCACATGTAGTTCCATGAATAGGACCCCACATACATATTGCGTACATGTAGCTTGTCAGGTTATTTTCGTTTGTTTCAATATTGTGACAGTAAAGCAATCTGCACAAGCGGGTACGTGCATGTGACATGGACAGAAAAGATATATGTGTACATTCACTTGTATTCACCTGTCTTCTCAGGCTTCTTAGTAAGATAATGCCTTGTAATGCCCACCCATGGCTCATCAAAAATAGCACTGCAATGGTTTCATTGAGATACACCTAGGTCTATCTCTATATATTATATATATTATATATATTGGTAGAATTTGTGTCCAACAGGTGCATAGTGATGATCATGATAATTTTTCAAAAGTATCAAGCTATATTTTGCCTTCTGCTGTTTTTTTAATTATTACTTTAAAAATTAGTTTCAAGCAACCATACTGCAATCTATTAAAATATGGATATAATCTTGCAAAGTCTTAAGGTCTTAATTAGAGAACATAGGAAAACAACAGATTACATCACTCAAATATGGACATTGCTTAATAAGGATCCACATGTAGCCATGAGAAATGTAGAAATAATAACCATCACAGATAATAAGTGTCCTGATGAATTTTTTATTCGTCCACTATAAGTTATCATTTCATGATTCCTGGAATTTTTATTCAAATTAAATGACATATATCTTTTATCTTTTGTTTTTTTTTATTTGACAGAGCTACCAATGTTATAACCTCCAACACTGTGAGGCACATGAACCAGAGTTCTGAACTTCTGAGTGGACCCAACGAAATGCCGGTTTCCCGTCGAGACAAACATGGGCCAGGTGGTTTTCCTCGCTGTGGTGGATAACGCAACAATGTCAACATTACCTAGTGTCCAGAATTCCAGATGGCCTTTGCTGTCTCCTTACCTGCTCAATCTTGCTGTGATTGATACTCAATTTCCAGCCTGTCGTATCACATCAAGTGTGTCAGCACAGTCATGTTTGAGGAATCTTCCTTTGAACAAAAAATGGCATTTCCACTTACATGTAAGTTCAACTGTGAAGAGAGATGAAGCATTTTTATGCTGTTGGATCCGAAATTCTATTTCCTTGTTGCATCGATCATAGAAAAGCAGTGCATATCATCCTCTGGAATGACTAAACAGTGCATCAAACTTGTTCAGAAAAAAGACACGAAAAACTACTTATGGCCTGAGTAACACCAGCTATGTTGAAACATTTAGGTTATGTCACCTTCAATCCTGAAACAAACAGGCAAGATGATATGCCACAAGTTCGAAAGATCATTGCCCAAATTGAAGCTTCTTCAAAAGCCCTGGATTAATATCACTGTGGTATCAATATCTTGATACAGACCCTCTCATTAAACTTTCTCAGACTATGTTAAATCTTCATACGCAAACTACAAAAAGGTAAACAGTATATGATAGGACCAGGTGGGGTAACCTCCCCACTCTTCTCTCTCTCTCCATCTCTCTACTGTTTCATTATCCACTTTAATTGCCTTTCTCTCCCCCTCTCATACCTCAACTAATACTTGTTCTATCTGGTTAAGATTTACAACCACATGTTTTTATCTATTTGAATTGGTTCTTCAATTTAGACTTGTGAATTACTTGTACAGTCAGATAAGGTATTGTTCAACTGTATACTCTCTCCATTCAATCTATATATATATATCTCTCTCTCCTTCTCTCTATTTCTTCAGATCTCTGTTCTCATTTTAACCTTTGATAAAATGAATATCTGTAATCAAACCTTATTAATGATTTTTTGACAGATTAAACCATTTCCCCATGAAGTTGCTATTTCTAATTAAATTGTGTGTTATTGTTCTTTCCATCTTTCTCTCATTGGTCTTTCATCCTTGGTATCTCCATCTCTCTCCACACCACCCCTGTCTCTCACACACATACATCCTCTTGTCATTATTGTATCCTCTTTCTGTTTCATCTGTTTTATTTCAATTAAATAAAAACTTGGTTCAAAGGTCTTACATTGTTTGATTACGAAAATTAAACCATATTTAATGGGCATTATGTTGATGATAGTTTGTATTTATGCGTATCAGTTTTACCAGCTTTCTTGTGCAGCAAGCCTTGTAGTTTGGTTATTTGCATCGTCTTCTATAGAAGGTGTAAAATTATTGTTCATATTCAATTGTACTTGGAATGATTTTTATTCTTGTTTACATGTACGGTAGATGCACAGTCAAACAAGTCCATAGTGCATTACAGTGGCAAATTAATTTATGCAACCATGTAACTCTATGCATGAATTAACAGCTGTGGAATTCCAAATTATGATCTTATCTCATGATTTGATTTTCAAGAAAATTGATCATTCGTGCCATT